CTTTATCAAAGTCCATTATCATGGCATCACTAAAGAATAAATCTTCCACTGCACACATTAATATAAGGTCATTGTAAAGGATTTTTTGTTGTATATCTGATTTTACATATTCTATACTTGTAGTAGATGATTTTGACTGCAATAACCCCTGTGCACTTCAGTACTAGGCCATTAAGCAGGCTATATCAGACAGCATTCAAGTAAGATAATACACCATGATCTGTGCAATGGACGGCAATGGAAGCAGCTGTCTGACGGCATGAAATGACATGCAATTGCTTGGTGATAGTCAAGAGTTGCTTTATCCACTTTATAAAAACTGCATGAACCATGCACAGTGGGCATATTACAGATTAAGTGGCAGGATAATAACAGTATAGGACAGTAAACAAAATGACATACGGCAGGCCTTTTTGTATCAGCTTTCCAGATGAACTTCCAGTAGATACAGATAGATTTTATGCTTCGTGGGTTTAATAGAGATGCTTTTAAAAGCTCAGGCCCAGGCTCATTAATAGCAGTGTAATGGAAACAGACAGCAGAAGGGATGAAAGTGGAAAATAAAACAATAACCTTTTATGAACACTGGAAATTGAAAGACTATAATATTATAGTCATTTAGAATTCACTGACAATAAAATCAATGAGACCTTAATACCACAAAGCAATATTTGTATACGCGTCAGTAATGAGAAATGCCTACCAACGACTTCCATGGATAACATCACGCTCTGGCAACATGGATAGATTGTGCAACGCATGCTTCCTGTGTTCTCTTTGCTGTGCTGACACACACAATCTATTGTTACAGTACTGATGTGATAAATGAAAAGTTGACAGGGCTGTAGTAATGTCCAGCTGGCAGCCTTGTCTTACGTTTACTTCTAACAGTTCTTCCAGTTGTAACTGAGTGAATTATGATATTTTGTACCATTCATGTTGCCCGTTTCTCTATTTCAGTTCCAGGTCCTGGGCAGATTCTCGAGAATCCTGCGTCGGTGTGAAGCATTCATTACTCCCGCAGCGCACAGATCCTCCTCAGTGATGCCACTGTAGAGTTAAAGATACATTTAATATTCCAGCATCGGACACACATCGTCACACTTGCTCACAGTTTTTCCTTCTTTTTAACCAGTAATGAAAAGATCTGCTTCTAATGTGCATCCACTGTTAGTTTGCACTCTATCTGAAGTTACCGCAAAGCTGTTGAGTCATAGAAAATATCAAAAAAGTCTCATACAAAAGTTTTATTTAGTTACAAAATCTCCCTCTGGGATAAGATTCCTACAGTGCAACTGAAAGAAGAAACAACTGTGACACAAACAAGAAATCACATGTTCATAAAAATTAAGTAAGAATGTCATAATGTTTGTATTACGCATTTCGCATGTGCAGATTTCACAGAAACCAAGTTTCATTGTGAAGAAAAAAGACAAGCAAGATTGAAAGTAGTGGGGGGAAAAACACGATTCAGTGGTACCAGTGTTGAGATGTGACATATGAGTTTACATTAAAGTGGCCTCTATGTTTCCAAGAAGCAACTACGATGTCTCAGAAAAGATGCCCATCCCCTTAGTTCCTCTTCACTGCTCATTGTTGCCTCCCAGAAAAGTGTGTTGAAATGACCTTTCACTCACATGAGCTTTTTTCTACTTCTTCCTATGTTTATAATTGTTTATCAAAGCGTGTTTGGAAAAATTGAAAGTGTTTTGTTTTGAATTTACACATTTCCCCTAAATGCACCACATACAGGCAATCTGTTCTGGAAACTGGACAGCTATGAAGATAAACTAACAGTATGTTTGTGTGTTGTTGTCCTTTTTCAAACTGTCTGTGAAGAACGAGCAGATTGTGAATTTGTGTGTGGCGTTCTCAAATGTTTAGGTCTGCGTGATTGTAGTCATTGGCCACAGGAATTAAGAGATTAAGAGACAAAAAAATAAATAGATAAAAGCAAAAACAGAGAATAAAGTGATACTCATCCAGCTTTCGTGAGCATCTCAACTTCCTGATTACATTTTATAAAGTTGCAGCTTTCTGGCTTGCCCTTACATTTTTCCTCGCCACTTTAAAAGCCTGTTTGATGGTTAAAATCAAGCTTTGTGTTTACAATTAGAATTAGGTTATGATTATAATAAGGGTTGCCACTTATTTGTGATAGTTAAAATGAAGAAAAGAAGCTTGAAAATTCATTGATGTCTATAAATATCCTCACAGATAATTAGAAAAACATGTCTGCATGTTGGAGTGGAGAGTGGAGCAACATGGAGTCACTCCAGGACTGATACACTGGTGTTCACTCATAATGATCTTACATAAATATCTAAATTAATGTTACCTGAAATAATCCAGATCATCCCAACCATTGAGGCTAAGTCCCAGGGTGTATTTTTGAAGGCCCAGAGTACTAAGAAGTTCCTGCACAGTCTCCGGTGCGCCTTGCAGGGTTGACACCTGCAGTGAGATAAACTATATTGAATTATTTATTTGGTTAACAAAACTCAGAACTTATAGCTTTGTCTTTGAAAACAAGATTACGCCTACCTCTTTCTCCCAGCTGCATCCTCTATCTCCATGCATGGAAGGGCCATTTCTATAATTTGTCCTCTGGTAGGGTATAGATGGGCCTCTCTGCTCTATGGGGAAAAAGTCGACTTCGCTGAGGGACTTGGCAATTTGCAAAGCAGTGAGTGAGTTGTCTCCTGTAGGTCCAGGGGGCTGATGATTCACTATCCAGGAAGCAGTGGCCTGACAGTGTGTGCGAGTGTAGGGGAGAGCTGATGGTGCCTTAGCTGCTTTGATAGGGTTGGTCCTTTCTGGAAGAAGCTGATGTTGATCCCTTCTCACCTTTTCCCTCATGATTGCTGAGTGATTCATATACAAGTTCTTTACACTGACCTCAGGCTGTAGGGAGTCCTGAACAATATTTTTACTTTGATATTTGCCTGTGGGTGGTGAAGTCTGTTCTTGGCAATGTGAAATGGCTTTACGTGACGGTGGAGGAATGGGAGACGGGGTTTTGGCTGGAAAGAGTTGATAAGAAGAATGGGATTGGGATGCATGAAGGTCACTGGTTGTCAAATACTGGGACAGCATGGCTGGAATTTCAATTTCTGTAAAGTCTGATCTGCGGCCAGGTCTGCTGTCAAAGCCATGCCTCCCTGAGACTTTTGGGAGCTGCAAAGCCTCATTACCAGACCAGATCACCTGAGGATCCCTTCGATGGGGAAGCACATCTTCCACCCTATGTGGCACGGACACGCCTTCAAAGATGTAGTAAGCGGGATTGGTGTAGCTGCTTGGATTTAGTTTGGCGGGAGCAGCTGAGGACCTGCAATGAATTAAAAAAAACCCTGAATTAAGCAAACTCAACCACATACAAAAGTTACTGTCATCCTCAATTCTCACTCATTAGCCACACAACTTTCTAATATTTCTTAGAGTTTTGTTTCAGTTTCATTTCAATTAGTTCCCAGAATGAGTTAGCTCCTTTCAGTTAAAATAAGCTTTGTTTTTATTATGATAACATCGATAAAAGGTTGGCTGGAGCAAGATTCAAGAAGTTCAGCTCAGGTATTACTGTATTACTGTACTTTGTGAAAGCAACTGAATCATATAAGGATGCTATGCAAACATCAAAGAAATGGTACTGGTTTAATAAACCAACGCGTCACTATCTTTTCATGCTTAATGTGTAAACAAATCTAACCAAACTGACAAAGAATAAAGCATTTTATATTTTTAATTCATATTAATTACAGTAATTACCCACAATTGTTTTTAAAGTTTCGGCTTGGCTTACGCCAGTGTTCTAGTTTCCACATCTCCAACAATGTTGGCTCTGTGTTTAAGCCAGGATTATGCTCACTTACAGACATGTATGCAGACAGCTGCAGACACTACATTCACATAGTCATTAGTTTTATATTTTCCACCTGGAGTCTGCATTAAGGACTAGTGCATTTTTCACAGAATGTAGCATAGGCACAAGATATCATCATTGAGTCATATTCTGGTGAATCCTCACGTGTAAAGAGCTGCAGTAACTAAAACACCAGCATTTGTAGTGCCCGTAAAAGCTTACTTACTCTACATACCACAAACTACAAATAATTCATCCAAGCAGACTTCAAACTTGGAAAAGCACGAGATTAACAATTTGGTCGTGATGTTAGATGGCATCTGTGTCTGAAAGCAAGTGTAATCCCAGCCAAAGCCCTGCACAGCAGTTTCTAATAATTTCTGACAGAGGCAACTAAAGATATATGGCTTTCACATCACAATGCCTTCAACAAGAAAAGCCCATCTGCATGTATTTAACTAACCAGCAAAGTTTCTCAATGATGCTGCACTTTAAAATGCCAAAAATGTATTCTAGTCTTGGGAAATTTGTGCCATCAGATGCCAGAGATTGGGAAACGTAAGTTTTCAGACATTCAGATTAAAGTAATTAAAGTAGTACATTTCAACATCTATGCCAGTTAGATGGGAAACAAATTTCTCTCATACAATTCTCTAAAATAAGTGTATACAGTGGAATGTGACTCTAAATGTAAGCATGATAGTATGGAAAAATATAGACAAAATGTGCTCACATCCACTAATCATTTGTACAACGTCTGTCCCAGAAAATGTCACCGAGCCCCTTTTCTTGACAAATGACGCTGTCCTCACCTGGTTACAGGGATCCGTGTCACTGCAGGAGACATGTGTCCCCTACCAGAGCCTTTATGATCTTTCTCAATACTGAAGCACTCTGGAAAAGTCAAATCACAGGAAATGAACATCTCATTTTCTAGTATACCAAATGGACTTACAAAACTAAGTCTGTTTGGGGTGATTAGGCCAAAGGCTGTTGTTGTTGTGTGTGTTGTGCCTGACCTGATGGCATAATACCCATCTGTCCTGTCTCAGGATGCATCTGGTCAGTCAATCGGGAGCCAAAAGAGGAAGCAGCCGATAGATACCAGCAAGTGTAAAGCCAAGCCAGGGATCATTGAGGAACCAAATAGAGGAAGCAATGTGAAACTCACAGGAGTCAAAGAAAGTGACAGAGGATGGAGATGAAGGTTTAGTGGGAAGTGATAGTGCAAGCAAGGCAGAGATTAAAAGAAGACCAGTTTCATGTGACCCACCATAGATCTTCTCCCGCGTTGCTTGCTTGTCCTTGGGCACGTGAACTCTGACACGTCCGCGTATGGAGCCCATTTCCTCACCTCGGTGACTCAGAAAAGTCTCAAACTGGTCGGATGCACCGGTAACGGAGCGCAGAGCCACACAGCATTCACCTACGGCAAAGATATTTTTTATAAAAATGCTCGTTAGATCAAGTAAAACTTTGTTTATGTATGAGATTTGACACGAGATGTTTGCAAAGCCAAATAAAGGAAGTATTAGTATTGATAAGAATATAGTAAATTTAATAAAAAACACTATTGCATTGTGTTTTAACATAGTTGGGTCTTTGAAGGCACTGGTTAGCAATGCTACAGTCATGAAGGGACAAACTTGCTCAGCGACCAACCGTATGATTCAAACCCATCACATGACTTCACAGACAGCAGCATGTGTTGATCTTGAAGATGATCCATCTCAGACATAATTGGAAGGAGCTATAATAGGACACACAGAGAAACACAAGTTAAAAAAAATAATAATTAGATGAGTTATATTTTAGCCACTTCTCAATAGTCTGAATACCTGACCTTTGGTAGTTGTTTGAAGGACCAGGCGAGTTTGAGAAACCCAGGAACGTCACAGCTCTGTGAGTCATTCTCGCTTGAACGTCGCGTCTCTGCAAAGAGAAATACTAAAGATAAACGACTCTCAAAATGCTTCACAAAAAATTCACTTACTGATATGAAACCATACCTTCGAGGCACAAGGAATGAAATTCAATGAAGAACTTTGCCTTGCTCGCCGTCTTCACAATCGCCTCAATACCTTCGAGAATAATCCAGGCCCTCTCCGTGCTGGAATTTGAATCTGTTTGAATTGAAAATACTGTACCGTTAATTTCACGAAGACATTCTGTCAAAGTGCTTATGTCCAAAGGGCGGCAACAACCATGACAGCACCTGTTTTGGAGGTGGACTGTGATGTCACTCCCACTTGATATGTGGCAAAAACAGGTGAATGATCACTTGTGAAGATGTCATCTGTGCAACCTAGTAAGAGATAATATATTACACAACTTAAAAAGCCGCACTAAATATCTCTGTGTGCTGTTGCTACAGCAACATGACTTTGTGGTAAAGCACGTGAGCTGTTAATCATATTTGAAAGAGTCAAAATAATATCCAGTATCTGTTTTGTTTCAACAGTTTGCTTGAGTTTGTCAAAATAGAAGTGTGGCTTAAAGAGAGGAAATGACCGTTGCTTTCATAATGGCTCACAACCGAGTGAGTTCATTTTATTGGGCGATAGGTGACTGGTCATTACCGCAGCAGTCTGCATGGCTCACCGTATGCAGTGCAGGTGATGTGCGTCTCTGGGTAGGACTTCCACAGAATCCTGTCACACCATGATGGTACATTGACTCGCACCTACAGGAATGCATTTAGTCATAAAATAATCAACAGTGCATTGTACTGGTCTGCGTAAGAATGAAATTCATATACGTATTCATAGCGTGCGCTCTGAAGGATTTCTGTTATGCCAAACATTCATGTTCTAGAAATGAGTTTAACGCTTAGCCTCCTATTTTTAGAGAGTGGGTCAGTTCAATTCAATTCAATT